TGACAGGGCCCCAGCCGGGTCTCTCCTCTAACTAGACTGCCAGTGGCTGCGAAGCAGAGACCCTGTGCATCCTAGTGTTTAGAGAAAAGAGGGGAAGGGGAAGGCGGGGGAGGAGGATGGAGAGGTGGGTGGTTCTTGGGTGTTGAACGAGGGGGGCAGGGAGGTGGAGGGGTTTTAGGTGATGGGTTAGGGCCGGGGTGGGCTGAGGCAGAGGTTTTGGATGTTGAACGAGGGGGAGTGGGGGTGGAATGGTCATGAGGTTAGGGGAGGGACTGGCTGAGGTGGTTTTTGTAGGTGAATTGGAAACCCTAGGTGGTTTTTTTTGGAGGTAGCTAATATGAGAGGAATGGGGAGTGGTTTAGCATAACAGTTGGACAGGACTCTAGATCGAGCAAGAAGGTATGGGAGGTGGCGAGGGAGTCTTTGATGGAGGGGCAGGTGGTTGAGGAAACCCCAGCACAGGCCTGTCTGCTGTAGGCTGGGGTGAGGATGGGGGCTTCAGAGGCGCTGTAGATGAAGAAGGCGTGGCTGCTTTGGAGCAGGCTGGGGATGAGGATGTTGGTGGTGGTGGTCGTGCTGCTGGTGCTGCTACTGGTGATGATGCAGCTGCTGCTGGTGATGATGCAGCTGCTTCTGATGACAGTGGAGGTGTTGAGATCCTTCGAGGTGGTGGTGGTGTTGAGATCCTTTGAGGCGGTGATGGTGTTGAGATCCTTTGAGGCGGTGATGGTGTTGAGATCCTTCGAGGTGGTGGTGGTGTTAAGATCCTTCGAGGTGGTGGAGGTGCAGAGACTTTTGGAGTTTTGGTTCCTCCTGATTGGCTTCCTCCCTTTCGATGGCTGCACGCGCTGCGCAGGCTGAGGTCTCAGGGCAAAAGAAAGGTTATCCATCAACACTTTTACTCCGTAAGTGTTCAGATGTGGCCCTTTCCCTTCAAAAAGCTCATGCCTATTCCAGAACAGATTAAAATTCTCAATGAAGGCAAGTCCTCTGCGTGAACATTCGTTGAGTAGGAAAGTATTTAGCTGATACAGACGACTGAATTTCATTTGCTTCCCGTCCACATTTGGTAGTGGGCCACTGATAACGATTGTTGCGTCCATTTTAGCAAGGTCGTCCAATAAGAGAGAATAATCCCGTTTCAACTTTTCACTTGTGTTGTCATAGACGTCTACTGCCCCCACGTGGATCAACAATCTTTTTACCCCGCCGGTCTCAGACAGAAGCCTCGGACGCCAACCGCCTTATCTCATCCACTTTGGCAGAGTGTACTGAGTGAACCTTGAGATTACGCATATTTACATTTCTTATCGCCGAATCCCGATAAAGAGCGACTCAGCTGCATTTGACCTTGACTGAGACTGAGACTGGGACTGAGAGGACTACTGCTGATTCATCTTCCAAAAGTGGTGAAAAGCGGTTTCTTGTAATTAAAGATTTTTGCTGTGGCATTATGACACTCTTGTTATCATTAGCTTTGCCTTGTTTGGGCTTGGCACCATATGTGTTCCAACAATTGTCTCTGTTGATTTTGGGAAATGAAATAGCGTCATCATAACTTACGTTCTGTCCATTTGGTCCATTTCCTTTCACTGGTATTGTTGTGTTCAGCCCCAATTCTGATTCAAGCACAAACATTCGGTCTTGAAGAAGTTTTAGCTCCTGTTTGAGTGGAAAAACAGCCGTCGCAAAGTTTTGTTCTATTTTCCCGTCCTCCCGACATGCTGTAAGTTAGGTAAATTCCACCAGTCTTGTGTTGAAGTTTGTAAAAAGGAGTAATCCGTGTTTTGGAATAATAATTTAGGAATTAAAAATAAAAAAAGCAGCAAGCGAGTAAGCAAGAGAATGACTGCTCTGTAGAGGAGATAAAAAATCCCTCAGCAAGCGATGGAGGCAGCAAAGTTAGTTTTGGCTGTTTTTTTGAGTCTCTTCGTCTTGCTCACATGTGTCAAAG